ATGACTTTTCTGGAGGGAAACCAGCACACAGCATGTGTGCACCAGCACTGCTGATGAAGCCACCTGGATGATTCCTGAAATGTTTTGTAGTCATCGAGTTTGAAACGGGCAATAATGCCTGGAGCCAGGGGGGCTCTGCATGGTAGGCTCTGGAGCTTGCAGCTGGCAGCAGTTCTCTCCACGTGTGCAGTGTTTTTGTGACAAGATGACAAGCTCCAGGATTTTTGAGTGTGGAGAGACTGTGAAATTAACCCATCAGCACAAAGAAGTAAAGTAAAATACTCAGAGGAAAATTCTGAACTAGTACTCTCTGCCAGGATGAAGGGTGTTAACCCATTCTTACAGTAGCAGTGTTTTCTTCCTTCTACTTGTTAAAGTGCCCAAGGTTGTGCTGTTTTTGATTAAAATGCAGTTCAGAGAAAGAAGACATGAGACAATTCCTTCTGAACTTTGACATGATACAAAAGATGAGTAACAGAAACCATACTCATGATTTGTAACTTTGGTTCTATTCAGCTGATTTAAAACATATTAGGATGCAGTTCAAAAGATGAATAGTTACCTTTATGGAACCTTGATCCCTGTCCCAAGCAATGTGGAAGAGGTATTTTGCTGAAGTGAATGAGGGGTGGTCCTGGTTCAGAAAAAAGGCAGATGGTGAGGTCACACGTGCCCATTGTGCAGAACCAAACAAAAAAATTCAGAGGGGAAGTGTTGCCTCACAGATGGCACAGGGAGACCCAGGAGATGATGAGGTCTGAAACTGGTCTTTTGCATTTCAGGATGTTCAGACTTCACACAGATCAGGAAGGGTAAGTGAGAGTTTAAGTACTGTGGTATACAATAGATGGCTTCAAGCATGGGGTTTAAGTTAGTTTTGTGGGCTCATACATTTTGCCTTTGTGGAATCTATTTGAGTTTTGTCCATCTGCTTTTAACTGTGAAAGGTTGTGAACTGCAGACCACTTGTGGTAAGTCAGACACTCTTAAGGTATCATAACCCCCCTTTGCCTTTACTGCAAATAACACACGCTTGTGTGCTCAGACCCCCCAGCTGGCAAGGTCTGGTGTTCCATGCCTCAGCCGGTCTGAGGAAATAAGCATGGACTAAAACCTGGCCTTATGTTGGCAGAGGTGATGGAAACTTCCCTCTACCTGGCCTATTTACCTCCCACACTTCATCCTTGACAAACAGGGCCGCTTTCTGTTCCAGGTAGTCGTTTTTTACACAGCACAAATTCATGCTGCAGCTGATGCACTCTGAATTTTCCTATGAAAGGCTTATCCGGTTGTTCTCTCATGCTCTTGGCAGGGTGTTAATGAGATGCTCAGCAGGATGTGCTCAGAAACTAAAATTGTATTTCTTTAAATTATGAATTGAGTGGACATAGCTATTGCTGAAATATGTATGGAGGAGATCCAGCTCCCCATTGAGAATTGCCTGAAAGCTTCAGAAGGAGAAATGAAAATAACTCTGTGTCTCATCATACCAAACTTAGAACTTGAGACAATTCCGTGCCTTTTAGCAAAACTTTTTTAGCAACAACAGACTATTTTCATAAAGACTGTTCTTGGAGTTACTCTGAAATCTCACTTTGATTCTCTAAGGTTTCTTTTAGTCCAGCCATTTTCATCATATGCTTCTGAGCAACTAACCTGGTAGACACTCTTGAGAACATTCCCTAATGCTTCTGAGAAGCTGAAGTCCTTTTCTCAGCCATGGTTGGGCTTATGTTTGCATTTTATGTGTTTGTACTATTAACAAGCCATGTGTCTTGTTTATTATGCTCTGCCAAATCCTTTTTCAGCTATAATGTAGAAGTGGCATCAGATGAATCAGTAACTTTTATTGCAGGTGCCTTATGGACTAGGAGGACACTCTTGAAGACCTCTGGTTAGGAAAATGGGTGATTCACAGCACCTGCCAAGGCTACTGCTCTGATCAGAGCTCTAGAGAAGCTCCTCTCCTCTGGATATAGAGGCAGCCTCAGGACAGTCATCTCTTGGGCACGGAATTAGTCTTCAGGGATGCTTTCCCTATGGGTCCAATCATCCACTGGGCTGCTTGCTTTCAAGTCGTGTACAGTCCTGCACTCCTCCAAGTTCCCTGTTCTCTCTATATCTGTGTTGTCCAGGCATTTCATTTGAATGTAGAAATCTTAAATTCATCTCTTTAATGCATTAGGACCTGCTAGTTTTAAGAGCTATGTTAAAATGTCTTGCTCTGCCCTCTTTAGAACAGGATTATACATTTCTGTTGGCCAAGTAAGTGGCAACTCTCAGTTGTTCACTGAACCTTTCTGCCGTGTCTGGTTTCTGCCAGCTTGCTCAAAATACATTTTTCATTGATTTATGAGTGGTTTAGAACTGTCAGCCAGGAGTCTTATAACTGCAAAAATTAAAATTTTAGCAGGTGTATTTAAAAACTTGCTTCTGAAGTGTGCTGATCCAGTTGTTCTAGATGTCTCTTTGTGTTTCAGGACTCCAGTGCAGAGTGCAGCTCACTTTTTCATTTGTTTTAAGTAACTATTATTTGAAAAATATAGAGCAGAGTTACTTATACACAATTTTTCCCCCTTTAAATATTCCTTGTTTACAGCATGTTTCCCTGTCACTCAGCTCAGACCAATTGTGTCATGGGCTCTTTTTCATATTAATTACTCTGTGTTTATTGCCTCTGTCTGGTCTTTATGCCCATCAGCACTCTCTGAGTCTTCTATAGGCTTTTAGCTTTTGCCATTAGAAACTGAAAAATCCCAATTCCTGATGCACATGAAAACAGCCAGCACAGACCTCAGTGATGCATGACTGTGGATTCTGTTAGGGCTTACTAGAAAGGCTCTCCCTTTGTTTTGGGGTGGCGTGTTTGTGTTGCTATTGGTTCATGCCTCTGGCTGGCTCTGTGCAGTTTGGGATTGAAACTCTTATCCTTTATCTAGGATTTGAAAAGCAAATGGAGCATCACACTGACCTATTTCAGCCTTTTTGTTTTGCAAATGTGCTCTTGGAACTGCCCCTGCTATTATCCTAGTGCTATGGAATGATTACAGTGAGATGTTCAGGCTGGCATCCCCTGCAAAAGTGGGCAGCAAGCAGCCCGTATTATGGAAAAAAACCCCTTACTTCTAAATATGGATCAAAGCTAGGTAAGTATTGTATTGTTTGCTATTCTGAAGTAATTTGTATGCTTAAGCTGTCTGAAGGGCAAAACAGTTTAAAAAAAATAGTCTAAGTGAAATAAGAATCTTGATCAACATTAAAATACACTGACAAAATAAATTTTAATGACCTCTCCTAATACATAGAGGCGCAACTTCCACAGGGCTATGCAGTCCGGGTAGTCAATATTCTCTGCTTACCTAAGATACTGGTAAGAATAGGTGGAATAAGCATATTCACAGATATGTGGATAGACAAACATCAGTGTTTAGGACAGGAAAAACAGATCTGACAGACTTCAGATAGTGACGACTTTCACACAGTGAGTCTCACGTCTTCTACAGGATAAATTCTCATAGGTCCCTTTTGACACAGAGTATTCTGTGATCTGTGACTATGCAAAACTCCCCAGCTCTGGGGTCTGCATGAGAGGCCATGAATGCAGTTCCGAACTGGAAGCACGGCCTGCTCCGAGCACTCCTTTGACATCAGAGGGAGAGCCCCAGCCTTGGGAGTGGCTGGGGAGGGGCTACGGAACCTGTGTCAGCAGGAGGCAGTGACTGGGAACTGCCTGGGGAAAAAGGGAAAAACATCTTGGGCATGTTGACAGTATTTTCTGCTACTCCCAAGTGTGCTGAATAGTTCAGTATGACTTACTTAAAATGAAATAGCATGAAAGCCATTAAACGCAAGCACATGGTATCAAGACCAGTGTGTGTGTGTTAATTGCAGGAGCTGCCAAGCCAATCTGTTACTTTGCCAACTTTGTCTAGCTCACCATCCAACTGACAATGCCCCCAGGCTCTCTGGTAAGGTGAAAACTATTTTATTTCACTCCAGCCGTGGAGTTTGCTGTCACCTGGGAAGTAACAGGCCTTAAGCTGGAGACCCAGAGGGCAGCAATTGTCACCATCTCCTGTCCCAGAAAAAAAGAGAAGACAGGCCACTCTAGGGCAGCACCAGCCAGAGTCCAGACTCCTGTACCTTGCTTGCTGTCTGCTGCTCTCTGCTTGCAGGAGTTCATTCTCAGCTGGAATATGCAAAATCCGTGAAGGTTTATTCACTAGCAGCAGCACAGAAACAAAGCCTGCTGTTGGGGAGAGTGACTGGAAAGCTGAGCAGCCTCTTGCACTATGGCTGCACTGGCTGGCTTGTGCTTTGTGCCAGATCTTGCTGTTGTCCTGCCCGGCAGAACAAAACCAAACCTTTTGTTCTGCTGCTGGCTGTGTGCCAGGGTAATAGGAGCACAGTGGCCACAGGGAGAAAAGACCACTTTTCTTCTGCTTTGGTAAGGTGGTGAAGGACATTTAGGTATTTAATTAAAACCCAATGCAAATTTCAATAATGGAAAATAGGACCCCAACCAAATGGGCAGTGAGTCTCCCCTAGAAGGCTGTATTTAAAATGTGGCCTTTTGGGTCTTGTGCTATTTATCATGTCTTCTGGGGGCTGGGATGGAAGAGAGGCTGTACTCCAAACTGGAAATGGGCAGCATTCTCAAATGCTCTGCTGGCCCCGCTGTAACACTGAAGTACAACCAAGCAGACTTTGCCTCATGTGGCAGGAGCAAGGAGCACTGGCAACCAGATTCCCTGAGTGGCTGGCACAGCCAGCTCTGCAGCCACTGTCCTGCTCAGCTCAAGAGACAGGTCACACAGGCAGATGCCCTTCCTTCTCTGGCTCCCTGAAACAAGTACCTCAACAACTTCCCCCACCATACACATTCCAGCTTCTTGCAAGGCTGTTTCACAGAAAGGAGAAAGAAATTCTGTCTGCTCTCATGATGCAGTCTTGTAGCACAGAATTTAGCTGGCAATGGAAACGAAAGACAATGCAATAAATATAAGAATAGAATCGGTTTATTAGAGCTATTTTACATAAAGTAATCAAGAACAAATTACTTGAAGAACTATTTGTATGCCATGGCAATATTCTTGCTGACTCAAAGTTACTGAAGTACAAAAGACAACATTCAAAACAATGCATGCCTCATTTGACTCTGGTTTTATTGAGACCCATGAGGAATGTGACATCCTTGGGACAGCCAAACAAGACAGACAGCACAGTGTGTGTGTATATATACGTATATATAACATGTACTGTACACATTTTACTGGTAACACATCTGCAGTTCACTCACACATATCAATTACTTGCTCTAATTCTATGAGAATTTTTCTGGGGTGAGGGCAGATCACCGAAGCTTTCAAGCTTTGCAGGGAGCTATGGGATAACCAGCAGGAATCCTACATTCCATCATCTTGGGTAGAAACTGCTGTGTGCTGTTCCCACACTGTGTGAGGGTGGTGGGCTGCATGTGGAAAAGGCTGAACAAGCCCTGAGCTCCAGGGAGAGACACTGCTCTGGGATTGTACATGGAATCACAGAGGGGTTTGGGTTGGAAAGGACCTTAAAGATCATTTAATTCCAACCCCCCTGCCAGGGCAGGGACACCTTCCACTAGACCAGGTTGCTCAGGTCTCCATCCACCCTGGCCTTGAACATTGCCAGCAATGGGGCACCCACAGCTTCTTCAGGCAGCAGTACACGACTGCTGTTGAGCACTGGGAAGTCCAAGTTCATCCGCTGAGGAGCTGCATTTTTTCATTTCAGCATTTAGCAAGCATGGCTGGCTGCTAGCAGCACAGAGGTTTAAAGTGAGTGGAAATAACATGCTTTTTTCCTTAAATCCCAATTTTCTTTGCAAAAGCTGGTGCCTGGATAGCCACTGCTTTTAATTAACAAAGCAAGACACATTCTTTAATGAAAATACTCCCAGTGCATCAGGTAGAAAGAACACAACTGGTCTCTGCAGGACGGTGAAGGATCGTGCTGGCTGGAGCACCCGGGTCCCCACAGTGGTGGCAGCACTGAGAAGAGCAGGATGGCACAGGCTTCCCCCCACTCCTTGGCCAACACAGCCGGGCTGTGGAGCCTTGGCTGCCCCAGTGCTCGGGCCCTGGGGTGCACTCAGCCCTGGCTGAGGCCCCAACTGCTGTGGGGAGGGCATGGGCACCTCATATCCAGTCTGGGGTCTCCCCACCTTTCAATGTCTTCTGCACATCAATCAACTAGAGCTACTCTCCAGAGCCTGAACGTTTCTTATTTTCTGAGCAACGTCATCTACCCGCTTTTTATATTATCACCAAAGGGGAAGAGTATGTTCTTCATCTCATAGGCTTCTTCTACACTTGAAAATAAACTAAGGATTTTGGTCCTTTTATAGAGGCAGAGATTCATGGACACAGAAGAAAGGGGAGAAAACAACTGACCCAAATCCAGGTTTTAGAGATACATCCCATTGATGAGGTAATCGGACTCTTCAGATGTAATGGGTCGGGCTTTTTTGAGCTTCTGTTTCACTAAGCGTAGTCTGCAAGCAACCATAAGCAGCAGCAAAGCAGTGATTGCCAAGCCTAAGGCTAAGGGTAACACAGCACCTACAATGAGGTCAAGAGAAATTACATTTTATTTAACACAGTGACACACTGGTAGAGAAAATCTGAAATTTTTCTTTAAAAATACAGCTAATCTACCACTTAGATGTTAGTAATTGGAACATACTATGAAACTAAGCTGCAAGATCATGTTAGGGACAGTTCAGAATATGTAAGTACATTATTCAATTCTTGACCACTTTATCTGTATCTATACCACCAGACTGAAAAACTGATGTAATTCAAAATTAATTCACAGGGTTGGTCTTACCTGTTTCTGGGACTGGGCGACCGCCTCCAAGCTGATCTCTCTTTGGCATCATTATGCCATCCCCATTTTTATCATCTGTTCTTTTCCCTGAGGAACTGTTATCTGTACAAAATCAAGCAAGATAAATAAATACTGCAGCTCAGCAATTAGGAAATCTTATCCACAGGATACTAGTATTAAATAATGTGAAGCGCTTAAACTTATGGGATTAGAACAGAACAGAAAAGAACACAACTGTATGACTTGAATTTTTGAAATAATGTGAAACTGAAGCTAAAATTTAAATTCAGTTTTACATCCCAAACCACAGTGCATCTCAACTAAAAGCAAGGACACTTTGACTGTGCTGTGATACATTTGCTGGCAGCCTTGAGAACTGTTACAGAGCTAGCAGAAACACACTATGCTGCAAAATCTGTAGAATATGGATGTGAAATGTTGTAATTGGAATTACATGTAGTGGTGGGTGCTAAGGAAGTGTTTAAGTCAATTAGCTTGGAACATGCACTGTGTGTAAGTCCCACCCACCAGAAGAGCTGCAGAAGGTGTCCCTGGCAGTGGCAGCAGCAGATGCACATGACTGCTAATTAAAGCCTAAATTGTTTCATTGGTACAGTCAGGAAAGTCCATGCTAATGCTCCCACTCCAAGGCAGAAGGCAGCCTCCCAGGCTGTGGCTTTACTGCCCTGCCATTTTGGCTGGGGTGCATAAACACTGACTTGATCCACAGGGAATGCTGCAGAAAAAGCCATGGCCCTCTCCTTGCTGGGCTCCTGATGTTGTCCTGGCATGTGAAGAGGGCTTGGAAAAATCCTAACAGTGAATGTACTGGCCTTAAAATACCCAAATGGTATCAGAGATGCGCAGGACCACCTGAGTGTAACTGACACCAAAACCAGCAGCTGTTTTTCCTGAATTAAACTAAATGAGTATTTGTCTTTATTTTGGAAATACCCAGAAGACATCAGCTCTTTTTAAGAGCTGCTCCAGCCTGCATCTAAATGCCTGTTTTAGAAAATTGTTTCCCTGCCATTAAATAAAGGGAATATTTAAGTCAACTGCTTGTAAAGAAATTTGGCAAATATGGAGAAAAGTTTAGTGGGAAATTTTTGGAAGGGTAGAAGAATTGAATCCTTTCAATAAAGCGTGTAGGACTTGTGCTGTTTTGCTAGGACTTGTGGCTGTTCTTACATGACTGGAGAGACTATCAATATCTTATCTGTTATCTCTAGAACACAAAGAGCAATTTCACCAAAGAAGTTTAGGAGCCTGGCATAAAGCATTTTACAAGGCTTTAATTTGGTTTTCACTTTCTCTTGATTTTCTAGTCTACTCTGAGGAAATTGCCACTTACAGCCCTTTCCAATTACCCTAAATTACAGATCTAGGCTACGGCTACTGCTGTGGGTGCCTCTGCAGTAAAAACATGACTAAGGCTTGGGCACTCAGTCAAATGTTGTAATGCCAGCCTCAAACAGCACTGCACGGGCAGCCTGGGACAGACAGAGGTCCTGTGCCAGGGGAATGCAAAGCTGTTATGGTGATTTATACACTTGGCTTGGCTGTGCTGGGGAGCGCAAATCTTCAGGCTGCTCACGGATTCAACCCATCTGCACGACCGTGTTTGCTACTGGTCACTGCTGCTAAGAAACCAGCCCCTGCTCACTCCAGAGTGCTGTGCTGCTACTGAATGTTTTCTATATTCATCTGCAAGTTCAGGAGTGCCAGAATATGCAGCTAGGCTTGAGAACTTCCCTGGAGAAGGACACTGGGGCTATTTGGAGGCAGCCATGCAGAAATGCTGCGCTGGCCTTTGCAGGAGATGCAGTCTGGGTAACTTTACTGCCATGGAAACATGTCTGCAGAGAGAGAAAGGACCCTTTCATTGACATCAAATGCCTTTTCCTCCATCCACTCTCGACTTTCGAAAGAAAATGTCTGGCCTTTCAGCTTGGGCAAAAGTAGACCATGAGTCTGTTGCAGAAGATTCAGTGCCCTGAGTGCCTGAGGGGGTTATCTCAAAGTCAGACTTGGTGTTCCCCTGGACTTGCCCTGCTGTAGAGGAATCCCACTGAAAAGGCAGGAGTGCAAAAAAAAGATTTATCCATTGTAAACAACCAATCATTTTTGGGTTTTGTATTGGTTGGTTGTGGGTTTTTTTCACTTTACTTTGAATAGGTCCCCTGTTAGGTCAGGCAGAAGTTTTAAACAGTCCTTAACTTGGAATAGCATATTTTCATACTGCAGTGTAAATCCTTAAAAAGCTTGAATCAAGTCAGAGCTAAGCATGAAGAGCCACTGTAAGGAAGGTTAAAAGAAATTTGGAACAGACAATCTATTAGAAGAAAATGAGTTCTAGAAGGAATTTCCCTTAAGTATCACCCTCATAAGTAGAACGCTCATATATCTGCTACCAGGAACTATCTCACAGCCCAAAACATTACAACTTAGCCCAGCTCCTTTGGAGAAAAGGACAAAAGATAAATTTGCTGTCTCTAGTAGGTAAAATCTTCACTTTGCCTGCAGTCACCTAATTTAAGAGCATCACGTTTTCCTTTCCATGGATTCTATTTCCATGATGATCTGAAACTGTCAGCTGAGAATTAAGAAAATCGTGGCCCTGAATGGAGCACTTGCAAGTGAAAAGCCAGAACCTGTAAAGCCATATCATCATATATGTATCTTAAGTAGACAGCTTTTCACCACAGTGACATTAAAACCACTAAAGCTTATTTTCAAAGTTTATGTAAAATAGTGTCTAAGAAGCCAGGATGTTTGCAATGTCAGCTCCAGGCCAACAAGAACATGATTGCCTCAGTGCAACAAAGACCTTTACAGTGATTCAGAGGCAGATGTTCTACCTTGGCACCAGCAGCAGGAAATAATCCCTCCCAGAACAGGATTTCTGCCAGTGGAATTGCTGAACTTTTGAGGCTGCTGGTATGATTTCTGCTCAGCATTGCTTACCTCTTCTCAAAAATGCATCTAGCATTACTGCCCTCCTGGACACATTTTCAGATGAGCTTTATGGAGCTGCTCCAGTATTTCTGTGCCTCTCATTTTTGTATCACATAATTATTAGATTTAGCCTGTAACGTCCCTGAGATGGCAGTGGTGGAGGGAAGTCTAATTAATGGATCTGGGTGGATTTTAAGGAATAGGTTAGATGCCTGTCTCTCCAACTCCATAAAGGCTGTGGTGCTTCCCAGTGGGGCAGGACTTGAGCCTCTCTGCACCTCTGTGAATCATTAATGCATAGCATGGAACTCTATGAAGTTTCAGTGTCTGCAGGAGAACACAGCAGCTCAGAGCAGGGTTTGGCAGAGCAGTTTTTGGCAGTTTCTGCCTTTCAGACCCATCTAGCACCTCCTCATGTCTCACCCCATGCACCCTAACTGGAATCAATCTGTAGACAACTTTAAACCTCCCTGAGCTGTTTGATGCTTTTTGTGGTTAGAAGTATTGGGCTCCTGGTCAGTAAAGACTGGATCCTTTTATTCCACAGGGAAATAATTAAGAATCTAATATTAAATTTTGACTGAGCCCTATTAAAAAAAAAATTAAACCCACAAGAATTAAAACAGCTTGAAATCTTGCTTGCTGAAAATTAGAGGATTACAACAGGTACTGGTAGTACACTAATCACTGAAGCCCCATCACACTTCTTTATTTACTAAGCATCTTCTTTGCTTGTGTACTGCTGTGCAAAAGGCTACCTTTAGAGCAAAACTGGTGCAAGCAAATTACTGTGCAATGGGTAAACACAGAAATGATTATGCAAAAATGCTTCTGCATTGTACTTCCCTTGATTATCAATTGCTGAAGGTGGTGACCTCAGTTCTGGTTTTATGCCTGGATTCACAAGCCAAATGGCTTTTGAGACCTACTTAGCATCTGACTTCCCACTGGAGCCTGCAAATCCCTTTGGAAGTTTGAAGGTGTCACTCAAGACTATGTGAGTGAGAAGAGTTTGAAGCAGACTTCAGAATTTTAGTCAGCAGTGAGGAGTCATCTAGAGGTCATCTATATTGCCAGAAAAGGGGAAAACATTTGGGACAGGATTTTGCTGTCAGTCCCCACCCCACAAATTCACTGAGGCCATCAAATTCTTGACAGCATTATTTTCACTCCCTTTGCTGAGTGTTCACAGAGTGTTCCCTTTGTGGAGTTTTCACTCCTCCTGCACTCCACAGATGCAGTACAAGCACCCTGAAGGGAACACCCAGGTGCCAGCCAGGGCAGTGCCCTTTTCCAGAGCCGACAGCAGAGGGCACTGACCACTGCTCTGTTGCAGCTGGAAAATAAAGCTGTGTCTTGGGGCACATGAATCACTCTAAACTATAAAGAAATAAAAGTGGGGGGTTTGTACTGATTCGAGGCTCTGTGCACACAGTTTTGCTTTCATATAATTGCCACTTCAGATAATTTTAATTCATCAGCATGAACCTTAAAAGACACATCAATTTCATTGCAGCTTCTGGAGGTTTACCAGGGCCAGGGCTGGGGCTGAGCCTGTAACATCACACAGTGACTCACTACAGGCTTGCAGCCACTGTGCAGAACAATACTGGGGACCTGTACACAGGCACCTCAGGTAGCTTGTTACCAAAACCTGAGAATTTTCTACAATGATGAAAGACTGATCCTGCCCTGGACACAGAGTTGAGAAACAAAAAAGCCCATAATAGTAAAGATATTAGTTCAGAAAAAAAAAAAAAAAAAAAGAGAGGGAGAAATAATACTTAGCACCAGGCGAAAAGCAATTACTCTCAACTGCATTGAACAGTTATTATGTGCTCCTGAAGTACTCCCCTAGAGATTTAAAGAGCCTTAATACATCAGCCTACACAGCTGAACCTGTGGCAGAATATTTGTTTAGTTCACTGCACATTTTGTTCCTTAGACCGTATTATTTCTCTAGCATTCCGACATTTCAACTTTCTTTTTGCACCTAGTATAAAACAAATGTAACAATAATAAATCAAAACCTACTTAGAACTTCATTATTACAGATTTCTTTTGTATTTATTTATATTTGGTTTTTTTTTTCCTCTTAGCTAGACACCAAAAGATAAATTAAATTTAAGATGCAAGACACTTCCTTTCTTTAAGGAGAAGGGTTTATTGAAACAGTTTCAATTCTTACCTGGCACAAATCCACTGATTTGTTTCTTTGGTCCCTGAGAAAGCGATTGGTTAGACATGTCTGCATCCACTGAGAGAAGTGGTTGATTTCTGGCAGTGGCTTTCAGGGTGTTCACTGCAGAGTTTTCCTCTGTGTTTTCAGTCAGTCCTGCAGTCCTTTGCTGGGTGGTGCCAAGAGCTGCATGTGTCACCGTCTTCCGACCCGAGCTTACTGTTAACAGAAACAAAAATTTTTGTACAATGTACAAAAAAAGTTTGTACAACAAGGGAATGGAAGTGTTCTTAAGGAAGACTGTCCAAGATGGGCCTTGAGGCAGAGTGAACAACTTCCTCAGGTTCACAGGTATGATGAAATGTGAGTCACAGATACCTAACACTTGCTTGCAAGAGTACACTCATGACCCCTACAGTGAAATCCAGCAACTAAAATACAATGAAAGAGTGGTTAGCCATTGTGCCCATTCACCCTCTGGTGGGTTTGGCTCACTTAGCTGGGCCTGGATGACTAACAAAAGCAAATAACATGATGGTGAATCAATTGGTTCCCACGTGTGTCCACAGTGTTTTTCAGATTCTTGCAAGGTGTCTAACAGCACAGTGAAGGGTACCTCTGAGACACCTTTTCACACAGAGATCACAGTTCTTGTTCCCAGAATCATCACACAAGTGCAAAGCCGATCTTTTAACTGATGAACACAAAACCTGTCACTTAGGGACCTTTGACAGATTTAATATGCTTTGAATAAAATTTCTGAGCACCTGAGTACGCAAATATTAAAGCTTCCCATGTGCTAATTCCAATGAAAGACTGGGAGCAAACTGCTTGCTCACAGGGAGAGAGGCTGCAGAAGTGGCATTGAACCCTTTGGTCACTGAGGCTGTGGTTACTGTCACAGTCTGCAGTGCCACTGTGGCCTGGCACACTTACGGTTCTGGCAGAAAGTCTCGTCTGATCCATCAGGACACTGCCTCACACCATCACACGCAAACGTGATGTCAATGCAGCAGCCATCATCACAGATGAACTGGTAGCGAGAGCAAACCCCAACACAGGCTGTTGAGAAACAATTCCAAAATTACCAAAAGAGAAATCCAAGGAGTAAATACTGAGTCACTGACTAAACTCTGCAGCATGGAGGAAAAAGGAAAACCACGCTAGATCAAGAAGCACCATGAACAAGGCACAAAGTCCAGACTCAGCTCTGTGACACTGTATTGACTCAGAAGCAAATATAGGCAATAGCTGTTCCTGGCACCTTCATCACTAGCCTGGTAATCTGTTTATTACAGGAATACTCAACCTGGAGCCTGCTGCACCTTACACCTTGTGCAGCACCCTTACTGTGCTTTGAATTCTGCTAGCCTAAGCTGAAAGGAGATCTTCCTAGGCTTAAAGGATGCAGACCCAGTCCTGAAAATGAATAAATGAAATCTCTGTGGCTGTAACTGCATCCCTCCAACACATAATTCCTACTACATATCCATTCAACACCAATACGTTGCTTTATATGCACACATTTGGGCCATATGGGATCTTATGGCGTATTTTTTGCAATGTAATTGAAATACTCAAAGAATGCTCATCATTTATTGACATCAGCATCCAGTGACTTCAATACAGCACAGACCAAAATAGGACTAGGTCACATTCTCACAAATTACTTTCACCAGAAAGAACTGACTGCTGCCTGCTTTAACATTTAGATTCCCCTGGAAATGGACAATACATCCATCCCTGGATGTCCCATTTTGCATACTCAAAGCTTTCCTGAAACCCATTCTGATTCTGTAATTATCAATTGTTTACATCTGTGCTTTTGTCTTTCCAAAAGCAGCGCAGTTCATCACTTTGTAAAGCACTATCAAGTTCAGTGCTTGATTAGTGTTGTAAGAGCAAATCAATTTGCATAAGGGAGCACAGCCTTTGGTTGTTACCCTGCTGTGTACCAAACGATGCACCAAGCTAAGGGAACGATGCCAGGAATGCAGACAACTGTTTAAAACCCCTAAAATCTGAAAATGCATCTCCTGAACTTCAGCATTAGTAATAGCACTGATCTTGCAGGTATTAAGGCATCAAGAACTGGTCTGGCTACAGCAGTAGCACTTGAATTGCTAATGTAGCTGGGGAATTAGAAAAATAAAAGACAGCAAATCCCCTATGTGGTCCATACAAAAGGTACCCCAGATACCCACAGCAGCAAATAAACAAAGCAGCAAACCTCTCTGGCTGCTTTAGCTGAATTAAATATTAATGAACACAACTCTATCATCCATTACTGGAACACAGGCATTATTAAGCAGATTTTTTCTTAATAACAGCTTATTGCCACAGGGACTACCCTCTCACATAGAGATATTGTGCTGAGGCAGAGCAAGACTTTCACTGGTTCTGCTAAACATGGCGATAATGCTATTTAACTTTGTGCCAGAGCAGCAGATCTGCACTAGCAACTTGTTAATTACAATGTAATTAGAAGTTATTACATGTAAGAGCAGGACTGACAGCCACTGAAATCTAACTTACTTTCTACCTTTTATGCTTTCCACATGGTTCTGAAGCTCAGAGTTCAGAAATGATAGGTCAGTTCCAGTTTCAGCTTCCCCAGTAGCCTAAGGCTTCAATAACAACCATCAGAAAGAAAAACTTAAATGCATTAAAACAAAAAACCATGTCAACTTTCAGACTACAGATGTAGGTTATTGCTATTCTTAGTCTGCCTCAAACATACTATTAAGTAATTTCAACTGGGTCTTCCCTATAGCACAAGCCCTGTCACGATGCCAACACCATCTGACTGTTACAATGCACATGATGCCTGTGTCAATATTTCACTCTTCCAATCCTGAATGGTTATTAGCAGTAGAGGGATAAATACTCAGCACCTGAAAGTATTATTGCTCTAACAAGCAAGTGATGCTTGCTTGTTTCCTCACTTTGAAAGAGAGATTCAAAGCTGAAAGAGATGTCATTATGTAATGAGCAAGGGCAAATAAAACACTGAAAATGGAGAATAACACTTTTACCTTTACAAGACCCTTGCTCTGCTCTGAGTACCAAACCCTGGGTGTCACAGAGGCAACAGCCCCAGCCATCTTCTCACCTGCTGCAGAATGAACCATGGGCAGGACGGTCACAGAGACGTTGTCAGAGCTCCGCTGACCTGCAGTGTCTGTCACGGTTAGCTGGAAAATGTACCCTCCTTCCTGAATGTGGGACAGTTTCAGTGTTCCTGGCTGTGGCACCTGAGTAAAAAAACATATTGGCACAATGGATCCATCCATGACCTTCCAGGAATAACATTAAATACTTCCTGCAGTCTAGTCAGCCTATTCAAGCATGTATTTCAGCATGAAACATTTGATGTCTTTTTTTTTGCATCCATTTGTAAAAAAACCCACAATGTTCAGGTTATCTCCTCAGTCACCTGGAGCTGTGAATCTCAACACACAAATGGAGAACAAATGGTCACATACATTTAAATCAATTTTTGAGTAATTAGAAATGTAATTTTAGAGGATAGACAGTAAAATATTGGCCTTTTGCTCTTTATCAAGTTAGTCTGTAGACAATATAACCTGGATCCACAGAAATAAATTTTCTTGCCTGAAAGAGAACAAGAATTTTTGATTAACATGGCAAGAGTCCTTCCATTATAGAAGAGTGCATTGATAAACACATTTTTTCTCTCAATGAGGAAATTTCCTACCTGAAATTTCTTTCCTTTTCTATTTACATGAATGCACTCAGTTCTCTGATCAGACTGTTGAGTACCTCCTGATGGAGTGTATGACCCCTTACAGTTCCATTCTTTAATGCATTAAAGAAATTATTATACTCTTAAAACCACCTGCTGTTGTTCACTGTGACTGTCTGGAGAGCAAATGTGGTATGTAAAACTCATGAGCCATGGAGCCCAAGTCCCTTCCCAGTGCAGAGACAGAAATGCCACTGACTTCTGAATACACCACCACTCCTCCTGGTGACCTCTGTGCTTTCCTTTCCATTCTCATGCTGCCTTGAAGAATGCTGGCCTGTATCTGCTTACACAGAAACTTTGGCTCAAAATGGATAACCAGCATTAAAAAAAAACCAACCAAACCCAACCCCATTACTGTCCCCAAGTGTCCAGGAGCCATGCAGCTACAGAGTAGGGGTAGCAATCAGAGAAGCAAATTACCTAAAAAAGCAATAAAGAAAAGGAAAAAAAAAGGCTTCCTTCTACAATATGATAAGATCTCTTTATAGCAGTCCTTTCCCCTCCTCTGCCTTCTATTTATTCTTTGCTACATAAAAGCAATCAACAGCTGCCTTTTATCTTATTTAAACACACTCCCATCTCCCTTGCAGCTATGGATTCATACATTATTCTCAAAGAATAAATGACACAAAATCCAGTAACTTCAGGGCAGTAACCAAAGCACTAAAGACATCAACTGAAGAATGCATGAAAAAAAATCACAGCTATTAATTCAACTCTAAAATTTAAATTATCATGGTTAATCACCAGGGTACATATCTGTAGGAGAAATCCCTGCTCACTTGAACACAATGGAAAAGTATTTATTTAAGCATAAATGTGTGTCAAATTCATTTTCTTTTAACAAATACAAAAAAGCCACCAAGGTTAATGTGAATTTTACAGCTTTGAATGCATATATGACTTGTCTGTATTTTATAAAGTCACTTTGAGTAATATTAAAAATATAAACTTTAAATGTTTTTATTAAATTCTAATTTTTGTTTTACTCTATGTCACTAAATCACAGATTAGTTTTAAAAGTATTTAATTGCTCTTTAGAGAAAATAATGCTGCAATGGGTCCGATAAACAAGTTTTTGATAATAAAGATGATATCTAGCAACTAGTCTTAAAGCTTCATTTTGCTTCACACTCTCTCACCTCTACATATCCTTCCTGCTCTAGATGGAGCTCCCAGCGTGTCCTGGATGTTGTGGGCTGTGAAGAAACTATGAGTAGAGTCTGTGGACTTGAGACATTTTTTCTTTCTTTTTCTGCTGATCCTACAGCACTCACAAAAAAGACTAAACTGAAGAACTGCTCTCTTCATGGGTAATTTGAAATCCAAGTGCAGTAGAAAATGTATGGATAAAATATTTCATAAGGTTTTCATCATGCTTCTTTGTAGCTTCTCCATAAGCACTGACAGCAGACTGTTGGTGAAAAACCCTTATTATTTTTAGTAACTGAATTACTGAGGGGTCTCTGACTGGGGTGACAGAAGCTGAAGTGCAGCAAGCACAAATATAGCAGAGCTCAAATCCAGTGGAATATTATTATCTACTTGTTTGCTGCTGGCTGTCCCATGCCATCCAGGAAAGGGATTAACTGTGTAAGCCACTAGAAATAATCATTGGAACTACCCAGGGACACAGTGTAGTCTCCTTCACTGGAGGTCTTCAGGATGGGATTGGACAGATAAAATAATCTCATTGAGGATCCTTGTCCCACAAACAGTTGGACCGGATGATCTTTTGAGGTCCCTTCCAACCTGGGCTGCTCTACATTTCTGCGAAATAAATGTTCAGGTAGTAAAGATATCCTAATTTTGGCACCTGGCAGACAGATTCCAATATATTTAATACTTTTAGCTGTACATTTAAAACTTGAACAAACCAATCTGGAAGAAACTGGCCACAAGGGGGGCTGCAGATGTACCTGCATTTCAACTGCTGAGTCGCCCTGCAGCAGCGTCCACTCGTAGTGCACAATTCCATGGTCATCGGAGCTCTCCCGGCCATCCAAAAGCACCCAGTCCACAGGTGACTGCAGCACAATGTCCTGGCCAGCCTGACACTGTGGGGGCTCATCAAATTCTTCTTCTTCAGCAAAAAAAGAGAAGATCAGTAATTTATGAGGGGAGGCTGAGTGATTATTTATATATATTATTATTTATATAAAACACCTTTCTTTCTTGGTTAAGGTATTGTGTCACCTCTGTGCAACTTCCTGAAAGAGGAACATGTTCATTAGTGCACATTTTGTTAAGCAAAGTAATATCTGCTTCTATTTTAGTTAATTGTCCTATAATGTCTTCAGGAATTAACATCAGAAGCACATGGCATAGAAAACCTCTTTAGGTACCTGGATGTTTCAGAAATACAACAAACAGGATTATTAGCATCAGTATATACTTTTTAAATCTGAACCAAGGAAAATAGGTTTAAATATGACTTACATATGGATAGCAGTTACAGCACCTTTTTTATACCTTTTATTGTACTCTGCTTAATTCAACAGGCTTCTAGTCCCTATTTATAATACATCATTATAGGAATGAAAGACTGATTTAGCATAAGGGGGCACCCTGATGAAGCACTGCACATGTTGATCAAAATTCATCAGACACCACCAATTTTAAGTGCCTCATTTAAGACACCAAAAGCTCGATTTTCAGAATATTTAGGATTGTCAGAGTATTTATTTATTCTATTTTGCTATATTCAAAGTACAATCTTTATTGATTAAAACTGTGAGAACTAAGTACTTTTGCCAATCAGACCACAAGCTTTTGGGTTAGACTAACAAAAGTTGAACCCAAAGATTGCATCTTTCTACAGCTCCCTACTCAAGTGTCATTCCTTCTCTGGGTACCCTGAAGTGCCAGGGTGCCCTCTGCTCTTCAACCTCTGCAAAGAATACCCTGTAAGGACACTGGTGTTATGCTCAGAAGAACAGTTACTGAAATCAAGGTTGTAACTGCACTTCATGTGGGCAGAGCCGCACAAGGAAAGGTGCTTTCCCATCAGTGTGGGGAATCTTCCTTGCACGTGCTCTTCAACAGTATCATGAACATGCTTGAAACCTTGGAGCTCAAGGGAGCAGTGGGACAACTGTTTATCTCTGACTAAACAGCAAAATTCTTATTTTTTGGTTTTTTCACCAGTAGGTCCAACATAGAAAATTTCAAGGTAAATGTCTAAAGTTAGGAAAACATACAATAACTACTTTTTATAATAATAGAAAGTATGAAACACTTCTTACTCATCCGATGACAAAGGCAGCTTTGTCTAATTTGTATACACTCACCTCTCAAAATGAACTTTGTTATAAAAAAACCATCCAGGTGCAAAAAAACCCCCAAAACTCATTGTTAATAAAACCTCAAAATAAACCCCAAAAAAACCATCATTTTGGTGCCAGGGCAACTTTTATTTGATATAAATGAGTTACATACAGTCTTCACACAGTTACTTAGTTTACAAATAACTGTGGAAAAGAAACTGACCTAGGTCACAAAGAGCACAGCCCAGTCCCCTGCTTCTACCTTGGAAAGGGGTTTCATGTCACTTGTCTGGTTTAAACGACTTGGTCAATGCCCTGTAGGGGCAAAGACAAGCCCCACTTCCCCTAAGCAATAAGGATACTCTCTTCCTGCACTAACTTTATACTCCAGCAGCATGAGTTGCATTGAGTCAGTCACAGAAGTTCATGCCCCCTGTTAAAGATGAATGAGGGACCACACAAACCTCTGGTCCTAAAGGATGGAGGCACCACCCTTGGCTTGTAACCTCCATCATCTTCAGAAAGGTAAATCAACGGCAGAAAGAAAAATTTGGCCTGATAGAGACATTTGGCATAGGAGGAGACAGCCTATTGAGCTGAAGATTCTTTTGCCATAGCAAAGTTTTAAGCAATGGAATACATGATCCTTAGTGAAACACCTCCAAATCTGGGGAATAAGAAGTCAGCATAAAAAACCAAGGAGACAAACTCACTGGAGGCATACTCCAAGGAGCCACTTGCAACCACCACTCGTGGGAATAAAACACTATCAGCCACAAGGCAGCAGAAAAATCATCTCTTAACTTCTGCTTTCAACTTGCATGTTGAATGTAAGTAAGCAGTATGGAACTGAAATACCAGGTCAACCCTCTGAGATGCTGGAGCTGGCTGCTTTCTAGAAAAAGGGGTGAAACACTTTTTTCTTAGGGAGCCAATACAATAGACTTTTTTTTCATCCTGCTTTTTATTTATTCTGCTCCCTCCATCCTTTATACAGACTAGTCCTGCCAATAATGAAGTTTCCAACTAATTTTCTGAAGGAAGGTTTTGTTATAAAAGGTTATTTCACTGCCAACTCCTGAATGTGTTTGGTTTTGGTTTATCTTGATGTTGAATCCTCCCATTGCTCACCACTAGTGATCTTAGAGATCACTGTATCCCAATGCACAGAAATATTTTGGAATTATGAAGACACCACATCTGTGGGTAAATGTTGGTTTGGTATTATCAGAAAGAAAACAGCAGAAGACTCAAGAAAAAAATACTCTGAAAGAAAAAAAAAAGGAGCAGCTAAAATGTTATCCCCTCATGGAAAAAAATATTGAAATTAAAAGTTCTTTCCTAAATTTTTTAAACTCATTCCTGGGGTGACAGAAGGGAAAAGAGATGTGCCTTCATCATCCTGTTGTCCAGATTGTTTTTCAATGTAATTCAAGAATGCACTGGTAACAAAACACTAGAGCAAAATAATTCAATCTTAATTTTATCTCTTCTGGTCTATGTCACATCTGACAGATGTTTAAGTAAAAGTTCATTCTCTTTTGTGGCTTTGTTTCAGCTCCAGTGTAATTGCATTAAGAAATCATAATCCCCTGTTTCCAATACCACCATCACCCACAAGGCAGACTTTTAAATAAAACCAACAGGACACAGAGCAATTTGCAGACAAGGAACTGAAATTGCCTTGCAAGTCCAGTGCTGATAGTCAGAAAAGCTGCCAAAAAGGCAAAGCATTTAAGAACTCCAGAATTCAAGAACTCAAGGAATTCAAGAATTTCAAGATTTCTAGTTGACAGTGCATCATTTGTACAATATACTATTTATATTGTGCCATAATTGCACCCTAAATTAGTTCCTAATAGGTTTTAACAGAATTAAGGCAGTTTAAAATGAAGCCTAATTCTGTGTGACTTTGATGTAAAATCTCATCTTAAGCCTTATATCATGCAACTGCATACAGGCTTATGAAATACAACTACCACAAAACTGCTACATAAATAATACTGTGGAATAATACTCCTCCTGTTAAAAATGTCAAAATCATACCTTGGGTTCTTCTGGTACCTTAAGCTTGCCTCATCTCTATTGCTAAGGGATTCTTCCTTGCAGCTCTCTAATCTACCTGCCCCTGCACTTTGCAAAAAATATTTAGGAATCATAATGCCTCTACAAATCAAGCCCCTGCTCTCTTGTATTTCCAGGGGATTCACATTGACATTTTTATGAAACATGAAGGTCTAAATGGACCTCAAGTCTGATGTCTCCCCTCCCACAAGAGCAGTAACAGCAGGCACATCTGGGCACTGTTCTCACCCACACCAACACCAGGTCTTCCTCCTGTTGCATGCAGTGACTAATTTACTTCAGATGAGATCTATCGCTGAGTATGATGCAGATGACATTTGGGAAAGTACTGTCCACAGAGATAATGAAATTAAGTCAAAATTAGTCTTGTTGTTTAACAACAAGAGGTGGGGGAAGGCAAAGAAATTCTTCAGGTGCTAGGAAACAGACTCCAAATTTAGAAATCCAGATTTGTTTTCATCTACAGCTGCTTGCTCTGGATAATATTGCTCCTAAATATGCTTCAGAGTTGAACAAACAGCTGCTTTTGATGTGGCCTAGTTTCCAGCGCTTGTCAAGAATGTCCATGCTGTGTCTGGACTACTGGTGAGGTATCCTTGTCTTCTTCAGTCTAGCTCTTGAGTTCTTAAGCATGAAAAATCTTGATTGAAATAAGTAAGAAGCTGTCTTAGGCAATGACATTTGGACAGCACCCCCAAGAACAGCATGTGCTTGCTCTCAGGCTATGCCCCAGGTCATGGCACAGCTGGGAAAAAAGGCACTTCATGCTTTTGAAGGTGCCCAATATGCACAGTTCCTGGGGAGCTGGGACTTCTCTGGTTCCCCAGGGAGTGTGGGGCCAGGGAACATGCCCATCCCACTGCCTGGCTCCCAGCCACCGGCTGGCTGGAACAGTGCCCTGCCAAGGGCTCTGTGGAGGCAGAGATGTTGAGGGATGGGTTTCCCCAAGCCCAAACACCCTCAAAGCCCTCACAGGTCGAAAGGGACCACAGTGGGTCATTTGATCCCATCTCCCAGCTCAAGCAGGGTTGTCCCAGAGCACATGGCACAGGATTGTGTCCAGAAGGCTCTTGAGTATCTCCGGTGACGGAGACTCCACACTCGCTCTGGGCAACCTGTTCCAGTGCGTGGCTACCCGCACAGCAAAGAAGTTCTTCCTCATGTGCGCATCAGTTTCAGCCCGCTGCCTCTTGTCCTATTGCTGGGCACCACAGGGAGAGCCTGGAAGCATCCTATTGAACCCCCTCCCCTTAAGGTATTTATACACGTTGGTAAGGGTCCCTCGGGCACGGCCGGGCCGCCTTTCCCCGCCCAGGGAACCCATCCGAACGGCACG